TACTTAATATTTATTATATTAAAATTTTTAATGTTATGATGTTTGGGAGGAGAGTGAGACAGAGAGAGAGAAAGAGAGAGAGAGAGAGATATGGTAATGATTATGGTGACGAAGAGATGGATGATGGAGGAATGTAAAAACACCAAAAAATGAACACGTTAGATATTATTATTATTATTATTATTATCATTTTGTTCTTTCATGGAAGTTGGTGAGTTATTCTTACATCTAATGCTTAATGTAAGGCCGACATTTTCTTTTTTTTAAATTTGAATGATTTTGTCACTTTTTTTTTTTCGTCACGTTTTTTTTTTTTCCTACCATTGGTCGATACCTTCTTTCCATTCCTTTCTACCTTTCTTTCTTTCTTTCTTTCTTTTCTCTAATAAAATTAAAACCGTAAAAAAAAAAAAAAAAAAAAAAAAACACGAAAATGACAGTAATATTATTAATAATAACAATAAAATTTATTAGACTTTCCACGTAATTTTCTTTTTTTTAATTATTATTATTATTAAAAGAAGGCGGTGAAATTACATTTTTTTTGTCATTATTATTATTATTGTTATTAATTTTTATTCGATGCCGGATTTAAACCGGAAATGTGGTTTTCATCATTTGCGTAAAACTGAATTTCCGGGAAATCCCCTCCCGCCACGAAAAAAAAAAAGGAAAAATCGAGATTTATTTATAAAAATTTATTATTATTATTATTATTAACATTATAAAATTTCATTTTATTTATTTATTTAATTTTGAAAAAACAAATTTTAAAAATGAAAAAACAAAAAAAAAAAAAAACCTTTTTAGAGAGAAAAAAAAAAAAATTTTTTTTAAAGTGTATCAAAGGAAAAAGAAAAAAAAGGAAAAAAATAAATAATATTTCATGTATGCAACGTTGAAAAAAAAAAAGGAAAAACTTTAACAATTTAAAAAGAAGAAAGTCAAAAGGAAAAAAAAAAGGAAAAGAAAAAAAGGAAAAAGAAAAAATTAAAATAATGGAAAATTCGATTAGTTAAAAAAAAGGAAATTTTCTCGTAGGTTGCCATTATAATAAATTTATTGACGTAATAAAAAATAATAAAATAAAATTTATAAGAGTGAGAGAGAGAGAAAGAGAGAGATAGAGAGTGAGAGTGAGAGGAAGAGAGAGAGAAAATTAATTTGTTTTAATTATCGCCCATAATGTGTGTGTGTGTGTGTGTGTTATAATAAAATCCGTGTAAAAACGGATATATACAAATATTTATACGATTGATAATATTTATTTTATTTTTTTCTTTTCTTTTATACTTTTATATTATAATAGTATATATATATGTGTGTGTGTGTGCGCGTGTGTGTTTGTGAATTTGTCGTGAGATTTTTTCCTTTTTTTTTTTTTAATGGCACGCGAGTCACGGATATTAGATTATGGTAACTATTATTATAAACGCTATATTAATTTATTAAAAACATATTATACCACGCCGTCAACTTTTCAATCATTCAATCAATCATTCCCCCCCCCTTTTTTTTTATTAATTAATAGAAACAAAAATTCAATTTAAAACAAAAAAAAAAATTCTATTAATATTTATTATTATTATTATTATTTTATTTGCATACGCGTTTGTTTAACGCTGTCGTCGTCGTCGTTTTGTTTTCTTGTTTGTTTGTTTGTTTGATGAATTCCTTTTGGTAAATAATTTTTTTTACACATCCGTAAGATGTTTTGGTCCATTTTTGTGACGTCACGAAAAAATTTGCTTTTATGTGTTTTAATTTGAATCGTTTATACTTTCGTCGTCGACATTCTTTCAAATCGTTCTAGAATTTTTTTTTCTTATTATTATTATTACGTATTATTATTTTCGATTCGTTTTTAAATGTTTTACGTGTTTTTCTTTTTTTTTTTTTTTATTTCATATTCCACTTTTTTTTTTATTCTAATACCACGACGGAAAATAATTTTTTTATTTTTATTTAAAAATACTCTTTGACTTTTTTTTGTTTTGTTTTTTGTTTTTAAATGCAAATTCTATCGAATTTAAATAATCTATTGATTCTATCATCATCATCATCATCATTATTATCATCGGGAAAACATAAAAAAAAAAAATTATAAAAATAAAATTTAAAAGTAATAAAAAAAAAAAAAAAACATTTTCCGTATATATCGGTAAAAAAAAACAATTTGGTTTCATTCAGTTTTTTTTTTTTTTTTTTTAAATTTTTGCTAACCGCAAATTTTTTATTTTTTTGTTTGTTTGTTCGTTTGTTGTTTGTTTGTTTAAAAAAAAAAAACATTTTCCTGATTTATAAATTTTATTTATTTATTTATTTAATAAATGACGAAAGAGTAACGAAAAAAAAAAATTTTTTTTTTTTTTGCTCGCCATTATTTTTTCCTGTAAATTTATTTATTTATTTTCCAAACATTCATTCATTCATTCATTCATTCATTCATCACTTTATGATTTATATATTATTATTAAAAGTATCAGATATAAATTATTATACATTTTTTTAAAAAATTCTTTTGTTTTAAGTAATTAATTTCATATTGTTCATTTCTCTTTTTTGTTGTTGTTTGTTGTTTGTTGTTGTTGTTTTCGAGTGAAAAATATATAATAATCCTTTATGTTTTTTTCCTCTTCTTCTTCTCCTTCTTCTTTTCATTCCATTCTTTCCTTTCCCTTCTTTTTTTTTTATATATATATATACTTTCTCGTTTCATACCATGATTCTTTTCACTTGTCTTTTTAATTAATTTTCTAAAAAACTTTTCTTTTTTTTTTTTTTTTAATAAAAGAAAATTTTCTTTTTGTGAAAATAAATTTTATATTATCATTTTATTATTTACCTTTTTTTTTTTTTTGAATGGCTTTTGTTTTATTATTATTATTATTATTATTTTGATTTACCTTGCCGCTTAACAAATATATTTTTTTTTTTATCTTTTTTCAAATTATAATTATTTTTTATTATAAATTTTTTCTTTTATTTTCCGACTCCCCCTTTTTTTCCCTATTTATTTATTTCGGCTTTTAATTTACTTTCTTTAGAAATTAGGCAATAAAAGTTTTTAATAATAACGTTCAATTTATATTCGAATGTGATTTTCTTTTATTTTTCTATGAAACAAACAAACAAACAATCGAACGAAACAAACAAAAACAATTAAAATAATAATTTTTAAATATTAAATCGATGAAAATTTTTTTTTTAAATTTTGTTTTCTTAAAATGCTTGTGTAAATTTAAAACGTTTAGTTTTTAAAAGAAAAAATGTTCTAGAAGTTTCTAGAAATCGAAACCATTTTGTTAATAAAATTTTTTATGTATTACAAAAAAAAAATTTTAATTATTCGTTTTTTTTTTTTTTACGAGATGAAATCCTCTCTTCTTTTGGGTTAATAAAAGGGGGAGGAAGTGGAGGAGGAGGATTAAATGTTTAAATATTTTCCTTTTGTTTTATTGAAAAGTTTTTTTAAAAAATTAATTAATGTGGTGGTGGTTGTGGTGGGGGGAATAAAAGTTTGACATATACTTCAATTTCAGGGTAAACAAACGTCATAAAAGATTTAAGTTTAAACCCCGAATGTAATATGATGATAGGTTTGAAAAAAAAAAATATCAATTTTCACGTTTATAATTATTGCTTATTTTTCATGCTGATATTATAAAATAATAATAAAACAAACAACAACCATTTTTTCGAAACGTTTTCTATCAAACAACCAACATATGTTTGCTACAGGAGAAATAAAAAAACTAAAATTAAAATGGATACGTAAAAAATTTTTTTGACGGGTATATATTTGGAAGGTGAATTTAAAATTGATTTCATCCTTATATCAACCAAACCACCCCCACCCCCACCACCACCAACGTCACTTAAATTAAATGTAAGGCGTTTCCATTTTCCTTTGAGTCATCATCCCTTTTTTAAACAATAAAAATACCCCGAAGGACACGACGATTCCTCCTGAAACACCTTTAATTCTTTTACCACAGTAAAATTTTATTATTATTATTATTATTACGAAATTCTTTTTTTCCGTTCTAAATAATAAGGTTTCGATATATTTTATATATATTTAATACAATATAGAAAAAGAAAGATAAATCTCTCTCTCTCTCTCTCTCTCTTTCTCTCGGTCAAACATGAATCATAGAAATCTCCCATTTTATTGTAAAAGAGTAGCAACAAACATCGTTTGTATGTCTTTGTTACTAACAAACATTATGAAATTTATTAAATTTTTATATATTATTATAAAAAGGATAAAATAAAATTAATAAGTCACCAAAAAATAAATAAATAAATAAAATGAATAGGTAAAGATGATGATGATGATGGTTAACATTTTGAATAATAAACGAAAGCGTTGGCGAAGTTTTTTTTTTTTTTTTTTTTTTGTATCTCTCTCTCTCACTCACACTCATTGCGATGAATAGCCAGGAACAAGTTTTTAGTTAAAATATTCGATTGTAGAGGTCGCTGTTTTTAACAATGTCGAATAGTTTAGTGTCCGATGAAAATGGTTTGAGGATTAGTAGCTGCGTTGCCATCTTACGGGAACGAATAGGGAGGCGCATATATATATCGTGTTAGGTGTGTTAATGCGCGACTATTTCCTTTATTATTAAATAAGGATTCTATTCATTGTTAATACTACACAATCGAAAAGTAGTATTAAAAAAAAAAAAAAAAAGTTTATTTTCCGCGGTTTATTAAAATTAGTATTTTAGAATAATATGAAAACAAATGTTTTTCTTTTACGGGGTTAATAATATGAAAATAAAATTGTGATTTTTTTTTTTTTAAATTTTTTTTTTCGTGTGTAAAAATGGGCGAAATTATGTTTTTAACGTAAAAATAATAATAATAATACGCATGTAAATAAGTATTTATATGTAAAAGGAAAAGAAAAAGGGAAAAAAAAGTAATTTAAAAAAAAAAATAGTGCGTTTTTTTTTTTATTATTATTTATTTAAGTGTTTAGTTTTGTCAAAATGGCCTTAGGATTTCGGCCAAATGTAAAATCATCCACCATTACGGGATATTCAACGACGTTTAGTTTTAAAAGTAGTGGTAGTTGTGGTAGTGGTAGTAGTAGTAGTAGTAGTAGTAGTATTAGTGGTAGCATCAGCAGCAGCAGCAGGAGAAGCAGGAGTAGCATCAACAAATTACCCTTAGTTTATTCGACATCCACGTCGACTTCCGTATTATCCGTAGTTTTGCTCGTTTGTTTGGAGACTGTTTTGCTGTCGACCGGAAGCGACTGCACAAAAAACTTCGTAGTTCATTGGAACACAACAAATCCAATGTAAGTTTTTGTTTCATATCTGATTCTCAAACACCGAAATTATTTTCGTTCTTTAAATTAAACAGGAAGGTCTATATAGATTTAGGAGATGAAGAAGGAAAAAGTCTGAATTTTCTTTTCATTATTTTTCCGCCATATTTGCTCTGTTTCCCCTCTCCCCACTTCCCGTTTGTTGGTTTCCTCCGTGAGGTTTATTCAGAAAATTAATTATTTATTACATTAAAAAAAAATTTTTTTAAATTCATCATTTAAGATAACCGAAAAAAATAATAAACTTGAATGTTTATCAATCGAAATAATTCATAAAATTTAAATATGTTTGTTTGTTTGTTTGTACGATTGTTTGGGGACACGATATAAATTCCGTAAAAAAAATTTTTAAATGTCAATCAACTCGTACAAGACAAAAAAAAAATTTTTTTGAAAAAATGTATTCGACAAAGTCCAAAAAACAAACAAACAAACAAACGTGCAAGAGTTCGAAGTTGTTTTTCTATTTTTTTCTAACATAAAACAGCAAAAGTAACAAACGCTGCGTAATAATTTTCGTTTGTTTGTTTGTTTGTTTGTTCGTTGCATAATTTTCGAAGTGAAAGATTCACGTAATTCTAATAAAAAAAATAATATGGAAAACGACAAATTAAATTCACAGGCTTCTTGCGAGTAGTATGGTGCGCCTGGGGTTTTTTTCGGGTTGCGGTTACTTTTTTTTTTTTTTTTTATTTTTTAACTTTATTTTTTTAACTAATTTTAATTAAAAATATTATTATTATTATTTATTTATTTATTTAACAATTATATATGTGTATAACGCTCTCGGTGCCATTTTAATAAAAAAAAAAAAAAAACGGATACTCCATGTCCGCGTTGAGTACGTTTACAAGTTATACGTATATATACAAGTTCCACGATTTTTTATTTATAAGTTGTATTGTGACGTCATTAAATTATTATACTACTCATTTCTACATCCTATTGTATATTATTTCAACGGTTATTACCGACTTTTTTTTTTTCTCGTTTCCGTCGACATTCTTCTTTTTACAAAATTTAAAAATTAATATAGAATTCGATGAATGTGACGACGATCTACGGTTGTTTATCTGTCTGTTTGTTTGTTTGTTTGTTTGTTTTACCCGTAATTTTCACGGATTCACGGATTTTTATAGGTATGTGTGCGTATCCTGGTTTCGAAATGACGCGACGATAGATTGATTTCGACATTTTTTCCTATTTTTTTTCGGCGGGCAAACAAACAAACACGCGAAAGATTGTTGTTTGTTGTTTGTTATTGTTGAAAAATCGATCGATATTAAACGAGAAAAAAAAAAAAAGTTTAATTATAATTAAAATAAAATTGTAAAAATGACGGAAAATATGCCGCGAGTTCGCGTACAACCTGTAAATACCTGTAAAAATATTTAATTACTACAACGTTATTACGTCGCGTTTCGTATTAAAAATAATAATAATAATGATAATAATAATAATAATGCTTGTTTTAATGAAAATGGCGGCGAACGTTGGCGAATACGAATACTCCGAAAAAACAATGACAACGAAATTCATTTACTTTCACTTTTTTTTTTTTTTTAATTCTTTTTAATTAATAATCGAAATAATAATAATAATAATTTTTTTTACATTGCCCCATTGTATTCTTTTAATTTTACCATATGAATATTTTATATATATTGTTAATAATAATAATAATAATAATTGTGGTTATTATTATTGTTACGTAGAATTCAACGAGCAATTTATTGTTGCATTTTTTGCATCGTTAAAAAGGAAAAGAGGAAAAAAAAATTTTTAAACAATTAACCGGCATTAAGTTACTTTTTTTTTCATTCGAATTTGACTTCGGAAAAGGTGAAATAATAATAATAATGATAATAATAATAATAAACGTGCTGCGAATAATTTTTTTAATATTTTTTTTAATAGACTTATTAAATGTGTTTTTTTTCTCCCCCCCTTTTAACTTCTTCTTTTTAATTTGTCTTTTTTTTTTTTTTTTTAACTCCGAGAATAACAAACAACAACAACTACTAATAGTAGGAGTAGTAGTAGTAGTAGTAGTAGTGGTAGTACTACGAAGACGAAGACGACAACAACAACAACAACAACGAGTATTCGGGTGTTTTTTTTATTAATAAACGATTATTAATGATTATTAAATTTAATTTTTTACTGTAAATAAACCGCTGCGAAAAAGAGGCTTGGGGGATTTAAACGTTATTATTATTATCATCACTGCTACTTTTTTTTTTGCATTATATTAATTTTTGATTATAAAAAAAAAATTGGTTCGGCGAGTTTTGAGTTTTCTTAAAGATGAGTTCACATCAGAAGAATTTTTTTTCTTTTTTTTTTTTTGGTTCATTGCATGTCGTATCGTTATCATCATCATTATTATTATGGCTATCATCAATAGAGAGAGAGAGTCTACGTGAAAGTTTTTTTCTTTTATTTGTATTTTATCTCATAGTTTTCTGTCATTTTTCTCCTCGTTAAACTATTTTTTAAAAAAAAAAAAAAAAAAAAAACGAACGTTACTTTTTCAACTTTCATATTTCTATAATTGATTTTAAATGATTGTATATTATTAATTTATTATTATCGCTAACATTTTTTTTTTTTTACTTTTTAACAAAAAAGAAAAGAAAAGAAAAAGAAAATTTATAAGTAAATAAAACAAAAAACAAAAAACAAAAAAAAACATCATGCATCATTTTTTAGAAGAAAAAATAGAAAAGAAAAGAAAAGAAAAAGAAAGAAAAGAGACAGTTTTTTGGTTTATTTGATTTTATTTGTAATGTATTTGTTTTTTTTTTTTTTATTCATTTGCCCTCGAGTAATAAATTATTATTATTATTATCATCATCATCATCATTTTTTTTTCTTTTTTCTATCCCAAGCTTTATTCTTATCGTATTTGTTCTTCTTACATTTTCAATTTTTTATTTATTTATTTATTTATTTATTTTTTTTTATATAAAACCTTTGACTCCATTTGTTTTTCTCGTCATTCATTCACTTCATCGTTCGTATAAAAAATTAATTTATTAAATTTTAATATAAAATCCGCCATAACAAACGAAAACTCTAATTATTAGATGGCGGTGATTTTTTTTTTTAAAATGGAGGCTTTTTTTAGTTTACGCGGGAAATTTAAAAGGCGGTGCGTTGTTGTAGTTTTTTTTTTTTTAATCAAAACGACGATTTGTTTATTTATTTATTCTATGGAATGATTTGTGTCGTCGTCGTCGTTAAAAAAAATTTTAATTAATCAATTAATTAATAGAAAAACAAAAATTTTTTGAATTTCGGTTGGGAAAACGCTTGTTTTTTTTTTTTTTTTTTTCATCTATAAATATCATCATCATATTGTCTATTGAAAATGGAAAGAATTTTAATTGCGTGTAAATGAAAACGTTTTCTTTTTCCTATTATTATTATTATTATTCGAAAAGAAAGAGAAAAAAAAAAGAAAAAATTTTTTACACTGAATTTATCCTCATCATCATTATTATTTTGCAAAGCGCTAATTATATACGAGATTGTATTATTATTATTATTATTATTATTATTTTTTCGGTGGTGGTAAGACTCATCGTAAGTATATCATCACCGTTATCATTATTATTATTATTATTATTATTATTCGTTCGTTCGTTCGTTCGTTCGTTGGCGCACCATGACAAAAGGTGTAATTATTATTTTAAGTTAAGCTAATAAATAATTGAAAAAAAAAAAAAAATTAACCACAACAGCAACAGCAGCACGGTTTTGTTGTGGGTGGGGAGGGAACGAGGGAGGAAGGGATAGGGGGTGTTTGTAGAAGTGAATAGAAAAATATTTTATGACGTTAAAGTTAAGTTCATGAATAAAATAATTAGTCCGGGACAACCTTTTCTTTCTTTTTTTTTTTTTTGACCGTTACATAAATTTTTTTTTTTTTTGATTCTGGGTTTCTTTTTTTCCTCCCCTTCTCTTCCCCCTCCCCCCTCACAACCCGCCTTACCTTGTTTTCTCCCTACCTCCGCCGCTGCGTGTAATGCCCGAAATTTTTAGTCGTGTGTTGTTGTTGTTGTATTTTGCGTGACTCGAATACATTTAAGATTTACTTTCCATGCAGGATCAACAACAACAACAACAACAGCACACACACACAAACAAACATTCGACTTGATATTTAGGTGTATTCGAAAGTGGTTCGATTATATTGATAACGATGCGACATCACACACCATGTTTTGATTTTATTTCCTAATCTTAAATGCTCCCCCCCCCCATCTACAATTTTATTTTATTTTATTTTTTGAACGTTAACACCGAAAAAGAAGGAGGAGAAAAAGCGCACATTTCGAATGCAAATCGTTTTGAAAGTGTATGTGGGTGTGCGTGTGCGTGTATGCGTAAAATATATAAAAAAAAAAAAAAAAGAAAAAATCTTAAAATTTGTTTTCGCACGAGTGTCACGATATCGAATCTCTCTCGTTTTTTTTTTTTTTTTTTAAATTTATTTTTAAAATAATAAATTTAAATATCGTTTATTTATTTATTTATTTTGTGCTATTAACACAGTTATACAATTTTTTTTCTTAAATGACCAAAGTATTATTATTATTATTATTATTATTATTATTTGGATAAATACGAAACAATAATCGTAAAATAAAACACATACTTGTTTTTTCGTTTTTTAGTCAGTCGTTCGTACGTTTATTTATTATCATTATTATCATCATCATCATTACGTTTTATTTTATTTTTAATACTAAAAATGGTTACAAAAATAAAAAGGAGAAGGAGAAGAAGAAGAAGAAGTTATTAATTAAACTCGATTATAAATTATTTATTCGAGACGTTATTATTATTTATTGTTTTTTTTTTCCTTTTGATTTATGCGACTAGGTGCGAATTTATATTTTTTTTATTTATGGAAACATTGATCCCAAAAAAAAAAAAAAAAAAAAAAAACGAAATTACGTCGTCGAATATTATATACATTTTTTTTTATGTATTTATTTATTTATTAAAATTATTTACAACAATAACAATAACGACGTGTTTGTCTGTCCGTCTGTTCGTTGATTGAAATCATTTTTGTTATTAAATAAGGAAAAAAGAAAAAGTGCAAGGATTTTAATAATATATGGATTTAATTATTTATTATTCACCTTCGTACTATTCGAAGAACGGAAATAAAATTTTTTTTTTTTTTAAAAACAAAATGGCGGCGTAATTTTTTTTTCTCTTTTTTT